TCCCTACATCTTTCCAACTGTGGTAAAAGTGTAGGTCAGGGTAGGAAGGACAAAGGGATTGAAAATGGACTCCTACCTGAGCCAAAGCAATTTGATCCTTGTGGCCTTGGGAAGAATCAAGGTTTGTGACCTCCAGCTCTCCTGAAATGCCTTCTGGGCACAAAAGTGGGGAAAGGGCACAATTTACAAAAGCTCTAAAGCAAGACCCAGCTCTGTGTGGTGGCTGAAGGAACTCCAGGTCTCCTTCCTCTTGGAGACTCTGGCAAAGACAAATCTGATGGTATCTAGTTCCCATAACAAACACAGGCCAGACATGCAAGTTGCAGGGGCATTAACCAAAAGTAGGGGAAGGAGTGGGCCCTGGGGAGAACCTGCATGAGAATCCAGCTGATGCCATTTGTACGGTGGCTGAGCCTAGAGAAGCAGTGGCATCCCCTATAGAGGACAGGTTTCTGAGCCCAGACTCACCCACCTATGTCCTGTACAGGGACAGAGCAGAATGGACTGATATAGATCCAGTGCCATAGAATGAGGGCCCCAATTCAGTGGTCTAGGTCATTTATTGTGAAAAATTTAGAGATGTTTATGATTATTTGTGGGCATGATGAAAGAAGTGAATGAGCTTTTAAACTAACCAGAGATGCTATTGAGTTAAATGCAGCCAATTATACACTGTGGCATTTTTTGAGAGTGCTCTTAAAGTCACTTCAAAAGGATCTACATGAAGAAATGAACTACATCACTGCAATAATTGAGGAACAGCCCCAAAACTATCAAGTTTGGCATCATAGGCAAGTATTAGCAGAATGGCTAGAAGATCCATCTCATGAGCTTGAGTTTATTGCTGATATTCTTCTTTTTTTTTTTTTTAAGATTTTATTTATTTATTTGACAGAGAGAGACACAGCGAGAGAGGGAACACAAGCAGGGGGAGTGGGAGAGGAAGAAGCAGGCTTCCCGCGGAGCAGGGAGCCCGATGTAGGGCTCAATCCCAGGACCCTGGGATCATGACCTGAGCCGAAGGCAGACGCTCAACAACTGAGCCACCCAGGCACCCCTATTGCTGATATTCTTAATCAAGATGCAAAGAATTATCATGCCTGGCAACATTGACAATGGGTTATTCAGGAATTTAAACTTTGAGATAATGAGCTGCAGTATGTAGACCAACTTCTTAAAGAGGATGTGAGAAAGACCCCTGTCTGGAACCAAAGCTACTTCATAATTTCTAACACCCCTGGCTACAGTGATCATGCTATACTGGAGAGAGAAGTCCAGTTCTCCTTCATTTGTTCACTCATTAAAAGAACATCTGCATGCCCATCATGTCTCAGGCATCGGGGATACAGCAAAGATGAAGACAGCCTTTGATCCTGCCCTCATGTAATGAATATGACAGAATACTTAGATGAACTCTATAATGACAAATTTACAGACACTATAGTATACCTCTACTTCATAGTACGTTAAGTTTCTTGAAATATTGTTGCTACTACAGATTGAGAAGAAATAATATTTCATAGTGTCTAGGAAACTTTTTTATTTTATTTTATTTTATTTTATTTTTTTCATTTAAAAGAAGATTTTATTTATTTGAGAGAGAGAGAGAGCAGAAGCAGGGGAAGCAGCAGAGGGAGAGGGAGAAGCAGATTCCCCGCTGAGCAGGGAGCCTGATGTAAGGCTGGATCCCAGGATCCCGGGATCATGACCTGAGCCAAAGAACAGATGCTTCACCAACTGAGCCACCCACGCATCCCTGGGGCCCTTTAGATAATAGTCCCCAGAGGCCAGGTTATCATCACAGGGTTTGGAGCAGGATAAGTCTTTGTTGCAGGGGCTATCCTGTACATCATGGGATGTTTAGCAACATTCCTGGCCTTTATGCCCTATATCAGTAGTAACCCCCTCCCTCCTAAGTTAGAACAAACAAAAATGTCCCTATGGCCAAATGTCCTCTGTGGGGCAAAACCATCCCCTGTTGAAAACTACTGCTTTAGCATACAAAAAGCTGTTATAAGAGCTAAAATTTTCTGAAATGTCATGAATTTCTACATTAATATCCATAAACGTTAATAGTCACCTCTTTTCTGAAAAAAAAAAAAAAGTCTACTTGGTCTGATGTAAGTATTGCTACCCTGGCTTTTTTTCTTTTCTTTTTTTTTTTCACTTCCATGTACATGGTATATGTTTCTTCATCCCTTCAACTTTGAATCTGTATATGGCTTTAGGTCTGAAGTAAGTCTCTTGTAGGCAGCCTATAGATGGGTCTTGCTTTTTTATCCATTCAGCCACCCTATGTTTTTTGATTGAAGCATTTGGTTCATTTACATGTGAGGTAATTATTGATAGGTATGTACTTATTGCCAATTGTTAATTGTTGTCTGGATGTTTTTGTAGTTCTTTCATTCCTTTTTTCTTCTCTTGCTCTCTTCCCTTTCTTGTCTGATGGTTTTCTTTAGTGTTATGCTTGGATTCCTTTCTTTTTATTTTTTATTTTTGTATCTATTATAGGTTTCCTATTTGTGATTACCATGGAGTTCATATATAACATCTTATGTGTATAGCAGTCTATATTAAGTTGGTTGCTGAAGTTTGAACACATTCTAAAAGCACTAAATTTTTACTCTCCCCTCCATGTTTTATGTATATGATGTCATATTCTACATCTTTTTATTTTTTGTATTCCTTGACTAATTTTTATAGATATAATTGATTTTTACTACTTTCATGTTTTAACCTTCATATGGCTTTATAAGTGATTAATCTACTACCTTTATTATATGTTTGCTTTTGACAGTGAAATTTTTTCGTCTCATAATTTTCTTCCAGTTATGGTCTTTTTTTTTTTTTTTTCCACTTAAAGAATTCCCTTACACATTTTTTTGTAAGGATGGTTTAGTGATGATGAACTCCTGTAACTTTTGTTTGTCTGGGCAACTCTATCTCTTCTCCTATTCTGAATGATAACCTTACTGGGTAAAGTATTCTTGCTTGTAGGTTTTTTTCTTGTCAGCACTTTGAGTATATCATGCCACTCACTTCTGGGCTGCAAAGTTTCTGCTGAAAAATTAGCTGATAGCCTCAGGGTTTTCTTTGTATGTAACTGTTATCTTTTCAAATTCTCTGTTTATCATTACTTTTTGCCATTTTAATTATGTGTCTGGTGTGGACTTCCTTGGGTTCATCTTGTTAGGGGCTCTCTGTGATTTCTGGACCTGGATACCTGTTTACTTCCCCAGATTAGGGAAAGTTTCAATGATTATTTCTTCAAATAAGTTTTCTGCCCCTTTCTTTCTTTCCCCCTTCTGGGATTTCTATAATGTGAATCTTATTACACTTGATGTTGTTGAGTTCCCTTAATCTATTCTTGTTTTGTCTTGTTTCTGCTCACCTTGGTTGCTTTTTATTACCCTGTCTTCCAGATCAGTGACCCATTCTTCTGTGTCCTCTAATCTGCTGTTAATTCTGTCCATATTTTTTATTTCAATTATTGAATTCTTCAGCTCTGATTTGTTGGGGATTTTTTTCTCTCTCTCTTTGAAGTTCTCACTGAGCTCATCTACTTTTCTGTCAGGTTCAGTAAGTATCTTTATAACTATTACTTTCAATTCTTTATCAAGCATATTGCTTATGTTGTCTCATTTAGTTCTTTTACTGTGATTTTGTCTTGTTCTTTCATTTGGGACATATTCCTCTGTCAACTCATTTTGTCTCTCTGTGTTTGTTTCTATGTCTTATGTAGGTCAGCTACAGCTCCTGGTCTTGAAATTAGTGGCCTTGTGAAGAAGAATTCTTGTGGTGCCCTATAATGCTATCCCCTCTGGTCACCAGCACCAGGCACTCCAGGGGTATCCCCTGTGTGGGCTGCATGCACCCTTCTGTTGTGACTGAGCCACAGTTGCCTTCAGCCCAACTGACTGCAATAACCTGCTTTGCCTGCTATGGGCACACTGGGTAGGGTTTGGTCCCTGTGCTGTTGAGAGGTCTGTCTGATATCACTGAGGACTTCTTGGTGGGTGGGGCTGGCAGTCAGATTAACTGTTTGCACTTAGCCTCTTTGCCACATCTGCAGGCATACCAAAGGGCAGGGCTTGCTCTCTGGGCAGTGAGGTAATAGGCCCATCTGCTATACTGCAATGCTGGTGTGTAGGATTATCTTCCTCCCTCCCCAGGGCAGGAGTCAGTTTGGAGTGGCACCATTCTTGTCCAGAGCTACCTCTAGAGTATCACAGGGCAGGAGCTGCTTTGGAGGGATGCCTGCAGAGGCTATCAGTTTGAATAAGGTAGGTTCTGCAGGGGAGCACAGGACCAGGACTCATGGTGCTAGTGAGGTAGATAGAGAGTATTAGTGCTAGCTTCCACAAACACCAGGCTATCTAGGCTGGAAGAAAGGAAGAGAAATTCTTTTCTTCTTAGAGATATCTCCTGAAGGTCCCTGCCTCTCCAGCACACGTTCTAAGAATAGTCAATAAATCATGACTACCCCAGCCACTTTTCAAACTGCTTTTTCTGTGCTGTGTCTTGGGCTGAGTTATTTATTATGCTGGCTTTTTAATGGAAGGAACTCAGTTTCCTCTCACCCTCCAATTCTCCCAGAGTTAAGCACACTGATTTTTTAAGTTCCTGAAATTAAGCTCTGCAGGTTTTCAAAGCCAGATGTTATGGGGACTCATTTTCCCAATGTAGGTCCCTAGTGCCAGGGGTGCCTGGTACTGGGTCTGACCCTCTCATTTCTCTGTGTTTGTGATATCCTTCCCATTTGTGGTTAGTCTCACAGGAAGAGTTTTGTTCCCAACTGCTTCTCTACCTTTCCCACCTTTTCAACATGGCCTTCTCTCTAAGATTAACTGTGAAAGGTCTGTTCTGCCAGAGTTCAAGTTATTTTCAGAGTTATTTGTATAGATGTAGCTGTTAGCTCTGTGTGCCCATGGGACAAGCTGAGCTCAGTATCCTCCCCTGACATCTTCCTGCCTCCCCTCAACAATCTGTGTTTTAATTAGCCCTACAGGTAAATCTGACACTTGCTAGGATTTGAGAACCACTGCTCAAGAGGTTCCTCTTGTTTTTCAGGTAATATTTAAACTTATATTTCTTACAAACATCTAGTCAATCAATAATTACAGCCTCTTTATCACACATTTACTTCATGTAAATCAGGTAATTTCCCATGCAGGTATAATATGGGATTTTAGTTTGGGTTGCTACTAATTTTTTTCCAAAACCATCATGAATGAATGCATGAATAAAAATGATTTCATTAATTTTTTATTAAAATTTAATTTACATAAATTAAAAGGAACAGATATCAATTGTAGAGTTTTAGTTTTAACAATTGTCATACAGCTACCACCTGCGATAAGGAAAATCTGTGTCCTAAGATGGCTGACCAAGCCAGCAAGAGAGTCCCAGTCCTTGCCCCAGGGCTCTTCTGGGTTATTCTCCCTGCTCTGCTTCCCACATGCACCAATCCAGGTTCTTCTCCCTGCCCCGCTTTGCGCACACACCAAAAGTGCCACGTATGTGGAAGCAGAAGTGTATAAATTGCCCCCTTTGTTTGAGTTTGGGGCTCAGACCTTTGGAGATCACTCTTCTCTGAGCCCACCAGTGTTAAGTAAACCTCCTATCCTCCAAGATCTCCAGGTGCTGCTTGGTTCTTCCATCAGGTGATCCAGTCCAGGTTCCATAACACCTGAACTATAGAACATTTCCATCCTGCCTCCCCAAGAAATTTCCCTTGTGCCCTTTCCTATCCCACCTTTTCTTCCTGTACTCACAAAATCATTGATCTATTTTATATCACTGTAGATTTTTTTTTTCTGGAGTTTCCTATGAATGGAACCATGCAGTTTATGATCTTTTGTGTCAAGTTTCTTTCCCTCAGCATAATATCTATGAGATTCATTCATGTCATTATGTTCCTTTTTACAGTGGAGTAGTATTCTATTGTGTGAATATGCTACAATTTGTTTATCTGTTAATGTGTCAGTGAATGTTTGGGTTGTTTCCAGTCTGGGGCTATTATATCTGAAAGTATTTTAGTTTTTAAAACCCTCATATTTTAATGAAGTTTGTTGCGTTTAGAATTCTTGGTCAAAAGTCTTTCCCTTCATCATTGCAAGATATTGTTCTATTGTTGCCTTCCATCAGAACTGTTGAAAAGTCTGATATCAATCTGATTATTGCATTGTTTATTTATAGGTAATCTATGGTTGTTTTTGTTTTCTGTGGAATATTTTAGAATTTCATTTTTATTTTGATGTTCTAAATTTCCACCAGTGTGTTCTGTGTTACATACATTCAAAATAATTTCCTCAGCTCTATCATCCAGTTTACTCAATCTCTCTTCAGCTGTGTTTAATCACTATTTAACCCACCTATTACCTTTTACATTTTAATGACTATATTTTTAAATTTCTATGACTACTCTCTGGTTATTTTTCAGTCTATTTTTTTTAAATGTCATTTAATCCTTTTTAATGTGTTTAAGTGCTTTTAAATTTTTTTGCTCATTCTAAACATACTTATTTTATAGTTTGTTACTGACCATCTTTATCATCTGAGGCCCTTAAAAGTCTAGTTTGTATATTTCTGCTGATGTTGCTTTTTGTGAATTTTCATGTGTGTTTTACAATTTTGGATGAGCTCACATTTGGCTGACTTTATCACAGGAAATTCTGGTTGGCCTGGTTGGCCTGGTCTGTCCCTCTAGACAGTTTTCACATTTACTTCTTTCTGGAAGCCTATACGTTTTGCAAGTTCAGGACTCCAGTTAATTATTTATTTATTTATAAAGATTTATTTATTTATTTCAGAGAGAGAGAGAGAGAGTACACAAGCGGGGGTAGGGGGAGACAGGCAGAGGGAGAGGGAGAAGCAGACTCCCAACTGAGCAGGGAGCCCAATGTGGGGCTCAATCTCAGGACCCTGAGATCATGACCTGAGCTGAAGGCAGACGCTTAACTGACTGAGCCACCCAGGTGCCCAGGACTCCATATATTTAATACATTGACTAGCAGGAAGCATAAGATCAAACCAGAGGCAGAGGCAGAGCAGGGCAAAACTTCTTTTTAACTCACATAGATCCCAGGCCAAATAGACAAACTTTCTTTTTGTCTCTGGGCAGATTTGGGTATTTCACACTCTCACTGACAGAGTAGTCTGTCCAGTGTTTTGGTTTTATGCAAGCATCTTAGTTTCAACTTCCTGCCTGACACAGGGTGAATGCCCCCACCCACCCATTAAAATTCAAATCTCTTGCTTATTGAAATTAACAACCCCATTTTTGCCCCCAACGATCTCCCCCATCATGTCAGCTTTTTATTATTTTCTTGCAAAGGAGGCCTATGGGAGACTCAGTTGGGAGTAGGAGGGGCTATGTGGAAGTCCTTGAATCTGAATTGCCTACCTTTCTTTTTTTTTTAAGATTTTATTTATTTATTTGACAGAGAAAGACACAGCAAGAGAGGTAACACAAGCAAGGGGAGAAGGAGAGGGAGAAGCAGGCTTCCCGCTGAGCAGGGAGCCTGATGCGGGGCTCTATCCCAGGATCCTGGGATCATGACGTGAGCTGAAGGCAGATGCTTAATGACTGAGCCACCCAGGTGCCCCAAATGCCTACCTTTCCAAACCAGGAGGCTAAATGCTCAGCTTGCAGCAGCTTCTAGCTGGACATCAAATAATGAAGCCTAATGCTTCTCATCTGTCCATTTCTTCTGCCTTCACTCATTTTCTCTTTGTGGGAAGTTGTCCTTTACTCTTCCCTTTATCCCACACTGGTTTTTTGATAGCAGGTGGGCCATTTTTTACTGTGTGTCTTCCTGACTCCAGTACATTTACTAAAAAATAGATGTGCTACTTTACATCCCCCAAACCACACACAGACAGAACCATTTGCTTAGATTTCACAACATATGAATACATATATTAGAGCTCCAAAGTGCCATAATCAAAATTGGCCTCACCTTTGGGGACTCATAGTTTATCCATCTCAGCCCACACCTCTATGCTTTAGAGTATAGTGGCCCCTACTCAGGCCTCATCTCTCAGAACTATGCATCAGAGCAGTAATCCAACCCATTTTCTGACCCACTGGGACAGCTAATTTGGGGAACAGCCTGAACCAAGAGTCTTTGTCCAAATGCAAGCTATGCCCCCCACTCTGGTCAAGGTGATCCTCAGCTTGCTCCTGGGGTCTTGAAGCAGAGTCCCACTGCCCCTTTGTCTCCCATCTGGCCTCCTTCCAGATATGGCTTGCTTTTAGTAGATTGGGCTCTGCCCAGTGTGGGGTGAGCACTAGGTATTGATTTTCCTCAAGTGCAGGACAGAGTGTTCACTGTGGGGCCAAGGGCTCTGTGGGAACCCAGCCAGCCAAAAAGTTGCTGCTCTGAGGCCCTGCATGTGAAAGAGATCACTGGGACACCCATGCTGGCCATGTTGGACTTTGAGTGCGGGTTGCTCATAGTCCTGCTGAACTTTGCAAAGGAAAGTTTTTTGGGGGTTGGGCTTATAACCTTTGAAACTGTTATCTCAAAGCCATAAACCTGGTCCACTGTACTATAAAAGTAGCTCATTTCAACATGTTCTCCCCGCAGCCTCCTTGACATTCAACACTCACCCACACTGAACCAGAGGCTATCACCATGACGAGGGACCAGAATGGAACCTGGGAGATGGAGAGTAATGACAACTTTGAAGGCTACATGAAGGCCCTAGGTAAGGGGGAGATGAGGGGTGAGGGAAGGAGGGGAACTTTGGGAGAACTGTGGTCGAGCCCTCCAGACAGTGCCACTATGGAGTTCAACAGATCTGTGTGCAAGCCTTGCTCCTTATTTGCTAGCTATGTAATAATAGGTAAATCATACAAATTCTCTGAAGCTCAGATTCCTCATCTGTAAGTTGGGAATAATAGTAAAGGCACAAATCCTCCTACCAGAGCCCCAGTCCTGCTGTGCTGAGTAGTTTAGCACCCCGAGTGGACAATAGAATGGAAAACTGATTCTATACATGGGAAGATGGTCTGGAGCTTAGCTCAGAAGTATAATTTTGAACAAGATCATACAGGTGAGGAAACCAAACCAGAGGGGCAGCCCAGTTAAGGCTTGCTCTCTAACCTTGACCAATTTTTTAACCTTCTAGAACCAGTTTCGTCATCTGCCAGATAGGAATTTTCTGGCCTGGGTTTCCTCACAGCATGCTTGCTGTGTCCAAAGAGAGAGGAGGCAGAAGCTGAATGGCCTTTTATGACCCAGGCTCAGAAATCATACAGCATCACTTCCAGTGTATTCTATTGGGTTGAAGGAGTCATGAGCTCACCTACATTCAAGGGAAGGGTACAGAGACCCCATCTCTCAGTGAGAGGAATGTCAAAGTCACATGGTTCAAATAGCAGGTAGGATGAGAAGTATTGTTGCAGCCTTTTAAGTAAATGCAATCTGTTACCCATAGGACAGTGGGTGATTCCATCCCTTGGGTCCATAGCAATAGAACAACAGGAACAAGATGTAGGTGTGGGGTGGTGGAGGGGGCTACTGTACACAGGTCACTGAAGGCTTCCTAAGTGCTCAGTGGGGTTTTGAAGGATGGAGGGAATTGCTCCACACAGAAGTGGAGTCAGGCATGACTCTGCAGGTGTGTGCAAAGGCCAGGCCAGTAAGAACGTGGTGTTGGGCAGAGTGAACAGAACAAGTTGTATTGCCAGGAAGTGAAGTGCAAGGAGGGGATGAAAGAGAGTCAGAAAGGTGACAGGTCAGATCTTGAAAGTGGTGTGCCACCACATGTGGACTTAACCCTACAAGGAGAGGAAGTGTCTGCAGAGGAGAGAGAAGCCACCAATGCTCACTCTGACAGCCAGGGGTGAATAGATCTGCAGGGACTGTCAGAGAAGTGAAGAGCTTGTTGCGATGGCCCTGGGAAGATGGTAAGAGCAGTGCCAAGAAGGTGGACAGGGTGAAGTCTGGAGTGGAAAAAGACTAGATTTGGTGACTGGGTGGGGACAGGGCAGGGAAGGAACCTAGAAAATGAAACACCATCATGTAACTTTAATCAGTGAAGATGTGGACATATAATGGAAGGTGTGTGTCCTAAAACTGCTCAGTTAATGTTCAATTTAGAAATCTAGGAATTCTTTAGTCCACAAATTGTAAATATTAGGGAAGATCCAATTCTTTTCTTTATTTAGAGAAGAAGGTGGGGGGCCATCTTCTATGAAGAACATCTTTTCATTTAAATGAACGTGTACAGATTTAAAAGAGCAGAGGCCACTGCAAAAAGTCCTAGTGGGTCTCTGGAAAATTCTACCAGAAAGGAGGTAGGCTTAGAGGCTGAAGTCAGCCAGCTCCCGCCTGAATGGTCTCTGCCAGGAAAGGTTTCCTGAATACCCACAATGTTCCAAATCCTGTCCTGACTGTTTAAGAGCCACAGTCCAGCTTCAGAGGTGAGCACATGCCACGATAAGCGTTATCAAGCCATGGTAAGCATCTTGCCAGAACTTTATATACATTATTTCATTTAATTTATTCAATTTCAACACACGCGTTGAGCACCTCTGACATGCCAAGAACTGTTCTAGGCACTGGCAACATGGTGGTCAACGACGTGACAAGTTCCTTGTCCTCTTGGAGTGTACATGCTAGTGGCAGCGAGAGAAAGTAAATAGTTTAAGATAGTGGTAAGTGCTTTAAAGAAAAGAAAAAGGACCTCTTGAGTGAAGAGCGTTGGGTGGTCAGAGAAGGCTGTTTGAGGAGGTGACAAGCGAACCAAGGCTTGAATGTCAAGAAGTGGAGTCACAGGTACAGGAGACAGCAAATGCAAAAGTTCTGGGTGTGTTCAAGAAACACAAAGGCTGGTGTGTTGGAAGTGGTAAACAAGGGGAAAGTCAGCCATTTATGATGGAAGACAATCTAGCTTATTTATGTTCTTTAAGGATAACTACGGCTACAGTGTAGAGAATGAATCATTGGAAGGCAAGACTAGAAGCAGGGAGGCCCATCCTAGGAGACTGTTGTGTTGTTCAGGCAAGAAGTGGTGGTGGCTTGGGCTGGTAGTGCCCAGGGACCTGGAGAAGAGAGTACAGGTTCAACAAGTATTTTGGAGATAAAGCCAACAGGGCTTGCAGAAGAATATGAAACCAGAGGATATGGAGGAAATGAAGACAGCCCCAGGTTTAGGGCTAAACAACTGGGAAGATGGTGATCCTATAGGCTGAAATAGGGAAGATATGGGGAAGAGTGAGTTTGGAGAGAGGTGCTGGGTGGGGTGGAATGCACTAAGACTTCTGTTTTGCATATTTTGATTTCAGATGCCCATTACACATCCAGGTGGAGTATTAAAAGTGGCATGTTGATACAAGATCTAGAGCTCAGGGTATAGTCAGGGATTAAGATGGAAGGGATGTTTTCCATTTCTCAGGATGAGGAATCGGAAGCCCAGAGAAGTGAAAGGACCTCCCCGGGGTCACCTGTGGCGGGGAAATAATGTTGCTCAGACAGACACCCGGTCTGCCTGCTTCTACCACCAAAGCTCTTTCCACAGCACTGTTCTAGGTGCAGGTACTAAGCATGGGGGTAGGGGAGAAGGAGCTTCATTCTGAGCAAGATGTGTCGGGATGATAGACAGTCAGGACCCTCAGAAACATTGCAAGAGTCAATCAGAGTGCCTGGGTGGAAATTAGTTAGCAAATGAAGGAGAGGGAGAGAGAAAGAAAAAATGTCTGATGACCCAAGGAGTTATATTCACAAAATTTGGATTTCTGCTAGTGCCTGCAGGTCAAAGAAGTTATACACATTGCCAAAGTCTTTACTTGAACCACATGGTATCTGGTTGGACTTTTTTTTTTTTTTAAGATTTTATTTATTTATTTGTCAGAGAGAGGGAACACAAGCTGGGGGAGCGGCAGGCAGAAGGAGAAGCAGGCTCCCCGCTGAGCAGAGAGCCCAACGTGGGACTCGATCCCAGGACCCTGGGATCATGACCTGAGCCTAAAGCAGACGCTTAACCCACTGAGCCACCCAGGCGTCCCTGATTGGACTTTTAAACAGGGAAAGTACTGGGGGTGTGGCGGGTAGAAAAGCCCCAGTGAAGATAAGTTCAGCCCCTTCCTAGCCACTTCCCCTAGGAGAGAGAGAGCCCCTTCTCTCCTAGCTTGTATTGACCCCACCTCCCCCTGCCCCCATCCCAGCAGTGAGTCCTAGAGTATGAGTGGGGAGCGAAAATCATGCAGAGGGAGCAGGGAGGCACCCCAGGGTCTCCAGTCTGCCTCTACTGGCTAGGAAATTTGGAGATGCCCATGAGAGACAGGAGGAGGCAGGCAGGGGGGGTCAGTCTAATTTCTCTCTAAATGTGTTATCTGGAGGAAAAGATGCAGAGAAGATTGGTCTTGCACTCTGCTTCTCACAGTTGCCCAAGAGTGCTGATGATCTGAGAATTAAGGAGTCCAGGTTTGAAGCCCATCAAAGCCGTGCTTGAAATAGATCTCAGATTTCACATGATGAATATGTGTGCATCTCTCTCTTTAATTTACAAAGAGTGCCTGCCCTTTTAACCCGCGACTTTAGCTTTTTTCACAAGCATATTACAAAGCATTTTAATGGTGAGTAGCATACTCATATTTCAACTTTATGACTTACATTGTTCAAAATGTAGTTATGGAAAGTATGCTTTAATAAAGTCACTTCAGTGTTGTTGTTTTCTTCTGCAGCAGCTACAAGCCACATATATTATTCAGAAATAGCTTGCCTTTGGACCTTTTCCTCTGAGATAGAAATTTATTTCACCTGGCTATAAATCAGGCTCGAAGATACCTTTAATCCAGAAAAGCAGATAAAACATACTCGCTAACCCTGGTGTTAAAATATCTTATCAGGAAAATAATTTTCGCTGCAAAGTACAAAGAGGAAGTGTTTTTGTAATCTGTGTGTGTGTGTGTGTGTATATTCTACAGCGGCAGTTAAACCTTTCCTTTTGATTAGAAATATCACGAATCCACCAACAGAACACTTGGCTCCTACCCTGGGGTGGAGCAGAGGTGACATGATTAACTAGCCTGTGCAAATGCTAAAGGGTGGCGAAGACGCCGAGCCATTTTTCAATCCAGAGAAGCAGCAATACTTGATTCCATTTGCACAGAGCCCCTAATAAGATTCCCCTGGCGCTGGTCAGAAAGATTGACTGGGGGTGGTGTGGCCAGGACGAACCAGTTCTCTCAGCAATAGGCATTTTTAGCTGTGATCTACCTTTCTAGGCAACCAGGGACAAGCAATAATTTTTGTTAGGGGAGCCTTAGTTGTGAGTGATAAACAGAATTTATTTGTGGGCAAGGTGCCAGGAGCTCTGTCCCAGCTGAGTAACTCTGAACCCACCACTTAAATTCTCTGGGCCTTGATTTCCACATCCTCTCTGAGGAAAGCTGCCGTTCTAAATTTTTCTGTAATCCCCAGTTCTCCCTTCGTTGTTTTGCCTGGAGCCCTCCCCCTCATTTCACCTGGTTAACACCTGGCCTGTGGTTTTCTTTATCACCTCCTAACTACAGTTCCGGCACCATGGTTTAAAACAGCATGGACCTCAGGAGTGGGAGCTAAAGTTGTTTCTACCCACTGGCCAAATTTTGCAGCGAGGAAGCTAGTCCATGCAGAGACATGTTTGGCCAGGCTGGATAAAAAGCCAGGGCTATGCTAGTGAGGAAGTAGATCAGCCACCATTCTGACTGTTCCTTCGGA